GGGACCTAGTCCAAATGAGGTTTGAGGAATTCTCATCACAGCTGGGCACCGCCCTCCCCACCCATCCTTCCTGGCAAAGGTTATCTGTGGCCGTGATCTTAGGACACAGCTGCTTGGAGCTGCTTTGTCATCCACAGCCAACTGGCACACTTCTACCATGCCACCTCAATCTGAAATACCAATACAACCAGATGCTCCCACTCCCTAAATTCACAAATTGAATATTTAATTTGTACTACATAGACTTCTAACTTTCTTTCTGTACGACCAGTAGTGCTACAAGAATATTTTGACAGAAAGTGTTGCTGAGGCCTTCATGCACTGTGTATTTCAATTCTATGACTCAAGTTACCAGACAGAAATATATAACATCATCTCATTTTCATCATAGGAACACAAAGTATGACACACTTTCCAGACGATCAAAATATAAATCAAAACCAAAGAAATAAGATACATCATTATCTCATGACCTATGAGAGGTGATAGGTACAACATCAACTAAGAAATTCAAAGTTCAAAGTTATACGTTGAACAGTTTTATTAAAGGATCATCAATCCTTTAATAACAAATAAAACCCTTATCAGTAATCGCCTTTTAGGAATAAAATTCCACTGTCCTCAGACTCCACAGGATAGATGACAGAGACAAATTGGAAACGCTTCCATACTTATTAACCCAGCACTAATGAAATGTAAGTACCGTTTGTCCACTACCTATTTAGCAGGTTGGCCTACAGACATAACCATGACCCTATGAAATTGGAGCAAGATTCACGCTGGGAAGAATTATTCTACAACAGCCCTGGCTGGGCTTTACCTCACATGTTTACAGTTACCTAGCTACTGAAACTGCTGAAACTTAATGCTAATTTCTCAGTTTTATGCAAGATTAAATCAACAAACGTTACATGTGTTTTATTCAAACCATCTTGAGTACATATATTGAAGCAATCATTAACTTTGCTTTCATCAACTCTTTTCTTCTTTTCCCAAAAGACCCAACTGCTGCCTGCTGCTAATATGATGCCCTCCCTTCCCTCAACCCCAGGTCATTGGGCTGATTGATCCGCCTGCTTCTTGGTCCTAATCATTCCCAGCATGCAATGCCACCTGCATCAGCAATCAATGTGTCAACATCTAACAGGTTGAAGCAAACAGCCAAGCCCTCCCATTGCCTTGCCGAAGGCATGAACATAATGGCATGACACAGTCAAGAAGTTTTAACAGTAATTTCTATAATAAATTCCTAGGAGTTCCATATACTTATAAATGGTAGAAGCAATTTTACTCCATAAAACACCATAAAATTCATATCAACTTGAATACAAGATTGCTAAATACATGAAAGGAATTATGGGCTTATCGTGTCAGAACAGTGAACAATACATCATGTCAAGAATACAATCAAAGTTTTCTTTAAACTACACTGTTGCCCTGATACTTGTGCACTTTGCTCTGCTGGAAACTGTACGTTTGTTATAATTTTGCATGTTCATAGCATTTGTCCAAAAGAATAAATAGCCAATCATAATACTAAAACAGTCTTGTTGGAAATAGTCTAGATCCTAACTTTGTACATCAATAGTAAAAAAAAATACTAGAAACTGAAGAAGTGCTATTTGTCTACATGTAAATTGTGGAAAAAATAAATAAAAAGAACATAAATCAAACAGGGCAATTTGGTTTATGTCTTGAAACCTGTGTTTACAAAAGGACCTTCTATATAAACAGATACTTAATCTTTCTAATCTTATCATTGTCTTACATTCCATAGATCCTGCTTCTCTTTTCTTATCCCTTCTTTTATCTCCTTATATTGTTTGTCAATCATTAACATCTCTTAATGTATTTCTATCTAGACAAACAAAATGTTTTCTACAAGAGTTAGGGAGTGGTGCCATCATAGAAAATCAGATGTAGTGAATTAGAAGAAACCATTCATCTTCATAACAAGCTCATTAAAAGACCAAGAAAACACACTCTTCAAACGTGGTTTATGTTATTTGTAACAATGATAACAAACAACTGTGGGCATTACACTTACATTTGAATTAAATGTACCTGCAAAAGGGGGACTAATGAAGTAATCATTGCTGTTTGTACAAGAAGAGAAACATAAATGTCTACCTGTAACAGTAATACTGCTCTACTAGTCGTGTGCAACATTTCAAGTTACAATGGAATAACAACAACGCAAAACAAAGCAAGGTCCAGTCAGCTTCACAGAACCACAACATACCTGCAGCAGGAATCCTGTCTTTGTTTATTTTCACAGATTTCAAACCATGGCCTGTTCAAACAAAGTAGCAGCTAATTTTCATGCATTCTTAGCGTACATCAATGTGAAAACCTTAAGTTCAATATTTTTCCAGTTATACATTGCAATTATATCATTGCAGAATTCATTCTATTTCTAGTGGCCTGTGTGAAGGTAAGCAAATACATCAATACGTGCATGAAATCATATATGGACATAATCACCAGATTGCAGACATATAAATTACATAGCCACATAATTTTGAAGACTACGCACATCCAAGATCATAATGATTTGAAGGCAAGAGTAATTACATGCAAATTTGAGCATACAGTATATGATAATTACAGTTTGTAATGACATAATGACATCTTTCTCAGGTCTCTAGAGTATCAATTATGTATAGAACTGAATAAAGCTTATGAAAACATTATTCAATGTTATTCAAATTCTAGTAATCTCCTTTTATTATTCAGCAACCCACTACAATTCTTCATGTGTATATAACGATGCACGTGTAAATTATCGAAGAACTAGTAAGATACTAGTACATGCCATCCATGTGCTAACAACAAGCTCCTTGTTGATTATGCAGCTTTTGGAAGCAAGACAAGATCTCAGGGCGACTTAGTAATTTACTGCCAAAGTTAACACTTGCCAAAACGTTTGGCTGGGACAAAAGCTAAGTGTACATGACATCTCGCTGGTCCCTAGGGTCGAGCGTAGGTGACTTTGTGACTCCCTTGCCAGCCTAGACCAGCTTGGGACTGATGATGTCATGTCTACAACAACTGCCTAGTGCCCAGTCTTCACTTACAAATCAATCCAAATGTACTAGAAGTGGAGCAGTTTTGATGACATTAATCTTGGTGTAGAAGAGTACTAATAGCTTGAATAAAACAATCATATTACAGAGAAGAAGACCCAAGCCCATTTGCTTCTTTTAGCAACTTTTTTTGTTGCATATGAACAGCACTGTTTCACTGTAATGAAAGAGAACAATTGTTTGGCATTTGATCAGAAACATTGCTACCTTTTGCCTGTCTGCCTTTGCTCAAGTTGACATGATTCTTCCATAAGAAAGGCCAAACCCAAGCTTTTGTTGGATAGCTGCCAATAATCCTGAAATTGAAGCCAAGAATAAACCACCACTGTAGCACCAGTACCTTTGAAATATTGATACCAAGGGCAGCACCGATTCTGAATCTGTCCATCTCTTCCTTGGGAAAACCCACCAGCAACTCATATCCATTAGTCTACATGTAGCTGTAAGGCTAATTTCAATAAAACCCTTTTCTGTGTCTCCCCATTTACTTATACAAACTCAATACACTAGGTTGTGATCATGGCAGGCCTACAAATCAACAGTTCAACTGTCATTTGTAACAATTCAAGTAACTAAAACAATACCTGCTCTATTGGACCTTTTATTGATCACAGGAAAATGTATGCAAGGTGGGTACCTTTGGGAAGCATCCCTGTAAATTATTGTTCACCCATCAAATAATCACATATCTACAAACCCAGGCAACTTTGTACCAGCCCCCGCACAAGAGAGCATGCTGACCCATTAAAAAGCAGACACGTCTTTTTACATAACTGTGTGACTATACATCAAAATATCTGACAGAGATGTATATTTTCCTGGTGTACATGCAGTTACAGGGTAAAAGTTAAAACACTTTGTTGACACAGTGTCAAATAAACTGTTAACATTAGCACCAATGTTGCAGATCAAAATGGCCACTCATGACCACCTTTGGTCATGCAAAACTGCAAAAGGTTAACTGCAATCAGCTGTTCGTGCTACATATTTTGCTTGCGGTTTTCAAGTTACATTTCCGTGCGTTCTTGACTATTCCCAATCACCCAATGGCTATGATGTAAAAGAAATGGTACAAGCACGTTTGCCCCCCTCCCCCTTCCTTTTCAATGAAGGGGTGCTGACGGGAGGGGTGGGGCTGCAAAACACTTTCACTGCTAAGAAACCAACCTTCATTATATTCTTGTCTGACAAGCCTCCAAAAGCCAAAATTTACAGTTAAAATAACAAAACAGACTATAAGCAATACTGCGATGTCATAATACAAAATTCGTTCAATGAAAACGACATTTTTTCTAGCGAAAAACAACCCTCCCACCCTGCAGACAAACGTGTACATTTTAGTTGGGACCGTTACTTTTATGCCAGCCTACCTCGCCTGGGGACAAATTAGCGACTGTTTCTCTCGACCCAACCAACAAGTACATCTATCGGTTATTCATCCATCGATTGCCAAATTCTCCACTTTTAGATTCCTATACACACAGATACCCCTTACTAATGGTAGGCTAACCGATCGGTGGGCGTTTTATTCCCCAGATTTTGCACGGAGATATTTTTACCGCCCGCCATTTGCACCGCTATGCTACAAACATGGCGACCCAATCATCCACATAGCTGGCGCGCTTGTCCGCTTGTACCTCAACATTTAGCTCCTGAGTGAGAAATATCGTCTTCCTCTGCCAGAAGTTTCCTCAGAATATCATAAGTATAATATGTGGCAGCGATCTACAACATTCTAGAGAGGTAGGGTTAGGAGTAGGGAAGGCGTTAGCCCGATAAGTGGGCCAAGCTCGGCGACCGGCGGGAACGTGCCCAGATGATGTCATGTTCATAGGCGAAAGCTCATCCTGGACTGCCTGTCGCCATTTTTCGTTCGCAGTTGGGCGATCGGGAGACGAAAACATGTGTACTTACCTACTCTGGCCGGTTCTGTTCCCAAAAATCCCGCGGAAAGGCCGAAAATCCCGACTTTTTGCACCTACACGATGCACCAGCACAACACACACACGGACACGGAACATGCACGGAAGTGGGGCGCGCGCTTATGAATATTCATGAGCTATTCTTTAGCGCGGAGGCACCCCTCGTAGGCGACCTAGGATAACGGTGCATCTCTGGGTGCAGTGGCGTGCATTTCGCTTACAAGTAAATAAAATTGTAGACAGGAGCTGTTAATATTAGTTCATTTTCATATCTTTGATCAAAATAAGTTCTTACAATCAAAGCAAGCCCATGATCAAGTTTCTTTTTTTCGTTATCCGGAAACTGACCCTGGACCTGTTGTGTTTTGTATCAAACCGATAAAAAAACGGAACAGTTATGTTACACGTGGTGCTGCTGACACTGAAAAGTTGTGCATGCCATTTTCCGCAAAGTGAGCGTCTGGTTTTCGCGTGATTAATCAAATGCTATGTGATTTGTCATTCGCTGTGACATCGCTGGGCTTGCCCTTACTGCCGCTAGGCGGCGTTGTTGGTTGTTTGCTTCGCATAACGTTAACCGATAAACCGCCTTTAGCCGGAACACACCGGTTTTGTACATTACAAATGTAGGTATAGGTACAAGACCGAATTGTAACTTTTGAACTACTCACACTGGAAAGGATCCCTACTTTTTTGTGGTGGGTGTGGCTCTCCTCAAACACGGGACCTCTGGCTTTACTTCCCATCCATGATGACGTCCCTAACTCAAGCTATAGGTACTAGTACTCATTTTGTTGAAGGTCATACAATAAATTCGGCTGTCCTGGTCTATAATGACGAGGGTGGTGAAGTTCAGATGTTGAGTAATACAAACGTTTTTACTGATGTTTCGGAGACTTATTTGAGAACAATGCCCCTAAAAAGGGGTAACGAAGGGTCATATTTTATGTCAGAAAAGCGCTCGCCATGTAAGTCGTCTTTTCTGTGTAGTCCAGTTTTCGCGCTAGTAGTAGAAAGTTAGGTAACGTTAAGTAGGGCGACTAGTGAACAAAATAAATTTAAACGAAAAAACCGTACCAAAAAACAATCGAAACCGCACATTTGCTTGAAGATTAAGACAGACAGTATTCAGGAGAAAGTGCGCGTTACAAACACCATATGGATTATCGGCCCCATTCGTGCGTTATAAACACCTCTCTGCAGGTACAGGCAAGCATGCAGGACTTAAATTCAAATCTTCGTGCACACCCACGGTGTCGTTAACGCAGGTAAACAAATCTGGAGAAATCCGAGAGGTGGACAAATACATAGTTTGCTTAGCCTTTGTCTTGGACGGGTAGTTCTACTATTAGTCTTAGAGGTGGACAGACTGGGAGGATCGCACGTGGCAAATTTCCCTAAGCCTAGGAAGGTAACGTTATATCTTCTTCTATTCTTCCACACACTTTATAGCGATTTCACCCACCACCGCACAATTCTTTCTCATCCTCCGCTATGCCATAAAAAGTTAAGAGCAAACAGTGAAGAAATACCGCCACACGTATGACCGAAGTACCTCTGATTTGCCTTTCCAATTGCGTCATCGTTGCTGTGCAAATAAATTCCAGTGACCGTTTCCTGAAGTGTTTGCTCCTGTGGTTCGAATTAACGTCAATGCCACGGTACACTGTCACCTGTAACAAATAGCTATTCTAAAAACTCCTTAACCTAGTATGGACAATATAACAAGCCGCTGGTCTGAGCACATTCTGATAGCCGTGCGGTCATGATACAAAATGTTGACGTCTTGTTCTATGAAGAAACGGTACGTACCGTCATATCAACAGGTGTGTGCAGGGAGAGGGGCGGAGGAGACACATAAGAAGTATAAGCCAAGAGTCAAGGTCTCAACACATCGGAAGAAAACAAAGCCTTGCATTCCAAGGGCTAAAGTCGATCCTCATGTTCGCCCACCGCCGCCCACTGCCTGACAGATCATGACAAACAACCTATCCGGTCGCCATGGAAACCAAGTGCAAATTGTCGTCTGTTACGTGCCGGGTTAATGACGCCCACTTAGATGTCGACCCCGGTATAAACGGTTTTTCTAATCACTTCCGCCGTACAGTTTAACATTCTTGGCTGACATGAGTACACTTGGTAGTCTCGGGATCCAGCCGATGGAATATATATATGACAACTTTACATGTACGCGCTACAGTGCTAGAAGCACTTGTGTATTATACGTATGTAGAAACACGAAGCTGGCGCTCCAGGCTATACCAATAAAGTAAACGTACGGTCATTGTCACTTTGACCTATTAGGTGATATATGGAGCAGTGGAAGTACCGCTGTAGAGCTATTACTGGAGGATTGAGTTTCAATGGTCATAGGGCGTTCAATGGAGGATGGCTATTCCTAATTTATTTGTACGTTGGTTATGTGCCATGAAATGATACACTCGGAGTTCTGTCGCTATCTACATGCATGAAGATGCAGCGCACAATATGCAGAAAAAGTCTCCCTTTTTTGTATTTGGATCATGATGAGGTGTGCGTCGGAGTGTGCGTGCGTGTGGGTTTGGTGCCAGGGTCACAAGTTGGTGCCGCAGGGACGCAGCGCCTGCCCAAGTAGATATATATGTACATGTATAACCAGCTGTATTGTCTTGAATGTTTTGGTTTTTCGATGAGGACAGTTCCCTTTAACCCACGCACTCAGCAATACTATACAGGCTTGTGTGTCAGTGCCTCTGGGAGGTATTTGACCCAAATGTTATGTTTACTAGGCCATACCTGAGGTGTTTTTCTACGGAGGCCATTGCCCTTGGCGGTCGTAACTTACCTTCTGGTTACGAGTTATATGTGTTGTCAATCTTCAAAGTGGTGATCCAACAGTACTAGCTATAGTGTCTCCACCGGACCCAACCAGAAAGGGTCCTGGGGTTGGGACAGAGGAAAGAAAGAAGAAACTAAACAGCCAAACGGTCGAGGATAGCGAAACAGTGTACTGCGCAACAGGTGTGACCATCCGGCACAGTGCTGCTTCACCCGTACCCGGTCATCTTGCATCCAAATATTCCGGTACATTCCTCAGCATTGCTACTCTACTTGATTCAAACACAAGCACCCTATCAAACACAAACTCGGTACATGTAGTACACACAGAACAGATCATGCAATGCGGTTGTGGAAACACTGAGAGAATCATCTTTACAGAAGACATCTGACCATCTGAGTGTGTCTCTGGTCAGTTTGGAGAGACCCGCCTTGCTCAGGTGGTCCTCTGGTCACGGTGGCACGCCGCTAAAACGGCTTTGCCAGATTTTCCGCAAGATTTCCTTATCTAAAGGAAGAGTAAGCGTCCGTAAGAAATACTGTATACTGTTTACAGAAGCGGTGACACTTCAGTGGGTGTCCTCGTGGGTCCTCTGAGATGTCTGCGACTGGAGGTCTCTCCGCTATGCCGTCTTCCGAACGCACTCCCCTCCCCTCCATAGGCAAGAGATAAACACCGTATCGTCAAAGATGTCGGAAGTTCTTAGAAAATATATTTGCAATAAGAACTGTGAGAGACTGTAGTTGAAGGACATCGCTTTAAACTTAACTTGAAATTGATTGTCCTATTTTTTCGACGCACACGTATTAGTTGTAAATTTGTAGTTTTATGAATCTCATGTGAATGAAGTAAGAAGTAAGAGCTAGAGTTTTGATGACGGCATGCCAGTGAATATGCATCAGGATCAGCCTCGACAATCGCCAGGCAGCGTAATCGTCCTAACATAACAGTGGGTCAATAAAATATTGAAGATGAGAAAATATTAATTGGCTAGACTTGGCATGGGCCAATGTTTTCATTACAATGCAATGAATCAAAGAACCACCTCTCTAGGTAACTTCACTCTTTATCTCGGATACACATCAATCACGAATGCGCGTAAAGCTATCACGTGTGTAATGACCATTTCTTACATCGATTTCAACATACCTTCACGCCTTTCAGACTGGCCTGCGTGAAACGGAGCCGCCTAGCGACATATGCATGAACAACACGTTCAACTTGACCGCTGGTAGCTTAGACGGACAAGGTCTCGATTGTTCACACCAGTATACGTGCAAACAAAGGGCTGTTTGTGCGGCACAAAAGCATAGAGTTTGTCACAGTTTGCCAAGAAAACTTCCGGTGAGATTTAACAACAGTCTCTGGAAGTAAACACGTATGCGTTATACGTTACAACTTGAAGTCAAAAACCTTTGCCAATGTGTCCTTACTTTGGTAAACTGTGTACAAAAGCCACGAACATTCTCACCTGCATGGACCTAGAATAAACGGGTGTACTCCTTAAAACGCCACTAACAGGCATGTTCCTACCGGGCGCATGTATTAGAATGGAGTAACTAGAGAAATAACATTTGCAAAGCAAATGCATAATGTTTACCTTCGTACATGGTCTGCCCTGTTAATTTTTACTCAAATACATTTTTTACATGTACCATGAGTATATGTTGACAGGAGCAGAGCAGATCATGAAATTGCAACATTATGTAATCCAACACCAGTCACCATGGTGACAGATGTCAACAAATCATGTCATTGGCCAGGTCAGTGGTTAGTGTTTGGAACAGAAGAGGAAGAAACTGAGTAAAAACAATATGTTTTCCTTCGGTAAACATAATTAAGCTTTCCAAAAGTAATGGCACAACAGACCGCGGCAATAATGAGACCTCCTAGATGTTTTCAACCCTACTCCACTGCTGACATTTGATAGCATTGATATCAAGGAAATAAAATCTCAAAGATAAGCAGGAAAAATGGAGTAGGGGATGAAAATGGAGTAGAGGCGGTCACCACAGGCGGACTGTACCATTTCAAGTGCGGGGCAATATCTAAAATTCAATGCGTGGCCTGTATAGCGGTGGGTGGTGGTGAGCACTACATGGGGACATGAATACTACATGGGACCAAGGATGGGACTTCACTAACACTTCTATTTTATTACATTTTATGTTATTTTATCCTTCTAAAACAACACTTCTATTTTATTTTATCCTTCTAAAACAAAAACTCAAAAAGACACCACATGACTGTTTATTAAGCGTACAGTGTGTTGCTCAGGTTGAGTCTGACATTTTGAAAGCTAAGTTTCAAAAACTCACTACAATGCCCTAGACCTTAATCTAACCTGATTATAACTACCCTACAGCCTACTTTATGTAAAGACCTTTGCTCTCAAAGCCAATGTATTCATATATTTTGGATTCATTCTAGGACAAGGTGGCCACTACTTGTACTAGAATAGAGGCAAAATACACTACAAATAAAGGCCGAGAGGGAACAAAAGACTTTCACTTTAGGGTACAACTAACCTTAACACTAGACTACAACTACAACTAACCTTAAGACTAGGCTACAGCTAACCTTAAGACTAGACTACAACTAACCTTACACGAGGCTACAACTACTACCTTAACACCAGGCTACAACTAACCTTAACTAGTCTACAACTAACCTTAACACTAGTGTACAACTAACCTTAACACTAGTCTACAACTAACCTTAACACTAGTCTACAACTAACCTTAACACTAGGCTACAACTATTCTTAATACTAGACTACAACTAGACTACAACTATTCTTAAACTAAACTGCGCTTACGTTGGCGAAGGTTAGACATTTGGTTAATAACAGTTACACAAGCAACTGGATATGATAAATCTGCATTTCTCCTGCAGTCTCTAGTGTCACTGACGAAAGTAGTGCAAGTGGATGCTACCTGAAACATCTGACCGTTTCCAAAATCATTGCTCGAGTAACTTTTTGGGCATAAACTGCACTTATCTTAATAGCTTATCTTAAAAATAGACAACTACAACATAATCCTATAAAAGAACTTTTACAAGTTAGGAAATCCTAAAAAAACATTTACACGTTAGGAAAACTTGGCTACTAGTACACTATTCAAAGGGACATTTCAATTTGTGACTGCATTCTGCAATCATTAGAAAAAAAACACATGCCTTTGACATCTCACAGCTGGTAAGTACAAGGAATGCAGCTAAATAGCAGGCATATATAATATTTCTATAAAACTACATGGCCCTAGCACCATGACAAATTTAGCTTCACCCAGGAAGATGGCAATAAACATGACCATACAACCTTAGCAACACTTGTCTATTAAAATGATACATTGCATTCTTTGAAGAGCTTTAAGATGAACTTCATTTACAGACTTGACCTTTTTCTTCATCCAAAGAAATGCTGCTGGTGGGGCGATGGCATGCAGGACGCAGTACTGATCTGTGATGCAACTTCAGTCCAAACTTAGTTAACAATCCCCTCTGTCTACCCGAGGCATCACCATCAGGGAGAATCACAATCACTTGGTTGTCGGCAAGGCATCGAAAATGTTGGCAACAGCCCTTGTGACGGCAAGGGATTGGGACACTTGAGAGCAATGGTTACTTCTGCACACAGTGCTTCAACCCATTCCTGTGGCAACCAGGTCCAATGCTTGGCCTGATCAGCTTCTGTACCCACGCTGACGACCGGAATTACGCTCAGAGGTAACTACAAAGTTTAGTCCTCTAGAAAACAGTGACTTTCCCAGTTCTGTTGGCTCATGATCACTTATGCACTTCATCTACCTGTCGTCCTTTTTGGCCTTGTGCCGTAGTCTTGGTTCGGGATCTCAAGACTAACGGATACCCCAGAACCAGATGATCCACCCCCGCCCCATTATTTCATTCACAAGGCAGCTTATGTAATGGTCAGGGTTCCCGACCCACTGACAATCACATAATGCAGAAAGAAGGTCAGGCAGTACAAGATACCTAAATAATCACGGGCTAACAGAACGTAGGGAAGTCTCCGTTTTCTAGAGGACTGAACTTTGCAGCAACTCCAAACACAATCCCAGCCCCCGGCATAGTCACAGAAACCAAATCAACCATACATCGGACCTGTATCCCACAGAAACAGACTAAAGCCATGTGTGCAAAAGGAGCCAAAAATCTCAAAATGCTCCAACCCCAAACCAGCAATGTCACTCAGGATGTCACCAAAGCAAACTCAACCACCTTGCCAACAACCAAGAAAGTTGATTATCCCTGTCGAAAATGTCTCAGATACACAGAGTTAATTCTAAGTTTGGTGCCAAAAGCTACTTAATGCACATCACAAATCACTAACCTTTTTTTCATCCCTTAAAGCCTTTTCCCATGAGACGTGTAGTTGAAGGCAACAACAAGGTCCTGGAAGATGCTGAGAGATGTCTCCTTCCCTGCTTCTTGCATCCTAAATCCGACCTGAATGTCAAATTACCAATAATTAGAACAAGACAGATTCAGTTGAACATTTTGCTTGTGATTAAAACACTAAATAGGCACGCAATCAACGATGCCTTATGCCTTGGGGTTTTAATAGTGGAACCGTCAATTACAGATAACTTTTCCTTATTGAATTCTACCGCTACAGGCTACAGCTACTGCTGAGCAGATACTTGTCATTAACAGTGCAATTTATACCTTGTCATATTTCTGGCACAGGCCGTCCTTCTCTTTGGGTTTCTTTCCTAGTTAGGATGTCTTCACGTGTAGTCCTATGTTGCAAGGAGAGAAATGTATTAGGTCATAGAACGACTAACGGTTACATATTTCGTGGAATTTTCCGTGCATGTGGTTCAGAAGTAGAAAGCAACACGCTCCGAAACCAAAGACATTTAACGGTAACAGTAACTGATCCGACTCTCACCTTTATGATGCGGGTCTCCTCGTCGTAAAATCAACGTTAGGTTTGAGCCCTCAAATTCTTCTCGGTGTAGTGATGCTCTGGGGTGTGGAGGTTTAGCACCTCCATTCCCTAAGTTGCAAAAAGAGAAACATTGTATCACTATTAGGACATGTTGACCCCACTGGCAGTACGTTTGAAGGTAAAGTTACATAGTTCGTTCATTACCTATTAAATTACGGAGAGATTTCCGTGCACGTGGTTCAGAAGTAGAAATGAAAACGCTAGGAAACCAAACACTTCCACTGTCCGCTGAAGGTTACGTTACATACAACCGATTCCGGTAAAATGCAATTGTCGACAGTCTCACCTTTACATTGCGGGTCTCCTCGCCGGAATATTAACGTTATGTTTGAACCCGCCGAAATTCAGGTAAATTCCTGTCGGTGTGGTGATGACCTGGACGTTTTTGGCACCGTCGTTTCCCTCACATTTCGACGTGCAGACCGCCGTGTCGATAGCGACTTCCCTTCGCGCTGAAGAAGCAAGTGAAATCGACTTATTAAACTCAGCCGTCCCCGCATGCCGACTTTATAACTTCCAACCACCTGTGCGAAGAATTCTAGCCTCCGATTGGTCGATTGAGCAGAATCCTTGCATGCTCATTGGTCAGAAAAATGCAGTTTGGAGCCTCTCCGTTGGTCAGAAAAATGCACGTTTCCCATTGGTCATCTTTGCTGATTAGATTAATTTTGACGATTTGGTTGGTCACATAAGAGCCTGCATGGGGGTTTTCGACAACGTAGGAGACGGTGCAAAAAGAGCGCCGGCTAGCGACCTTACTTGATGCTACAGTAGTTCTTGGCTTGGCTTCGTTTCCGAAGATTTAACACCCCTCAAAACACACAGTATTTAACACCCCTCAAAAAACACAGAATATGATACTGGTCTCTATTAAAAGCCATTAGAAACTAAATCGACTGATTGATAAATTGATCAATTAAACTAGGGGATATCTTGCTATTTGGTTCAGGCCTTTCGCCAGGTTTCTTCAAATTTAGAATTTCTGATCCGACCTTTGGGGCTTTTTTACGTATACTACACACAATCTACAGTTCCCAATCATCGGTTTTAATGAATGTGCTTAATTAGGCATGACAGAAAGTAAACATACGTTTTGTTCTAGCAAATTCTATTTGAATTTTTTTTCAATCTTAAGATCTTTCTTTGACAAACGTACTTACCTTCTCGCACATGCACGATTTTGATGCTCTCACGCATAGATAATTCTAATTTACATTAGATTACATCATAGACGGAGTCATAAGCAAAATACTTGATGATTTGATTTGATGACTGGTTTATTTGCAACACGTGCTCAGACATACCGTTGCAGCCTTATCTGGCTGAATTAGGGCATGATACAAATCAATATTCTTAAAATT